CTGCGCAGAACCCTCAAGCTCCCAGGCCTCTGGTAGAGGACCCGAGCTTGAAGGATAAACCGCCCGCAGGGGCGTGCTGGGTGTGTATATATATATATATATTGTTATTATAACTTGTAGGCTTTTGTGTAACACTTGTGGGTCAAGCTGACTTGCCTTTCATTTTTCTTTTTCCTTCTGTCCATCATTACTGTGCTTCTTTCCTTTATTGCTGCATTTTTTCCTTTCTGTCTTCCTTCATAAAATCTTCTATCTCTTTCTCGACTTTTACCTTTTTCCTCATCTACCTTCCTTTTCTTCTCATTTGCCTCCTATCTTCCCTTTTTCTTGTCTTCTACTCATCCACCATCCCCCTGCCAGTAGCTTCTACCTACATTGTTTTGTTTTTTCCTTTTTCCTTCAGTTTATCCTCCCTTCTTATCCTCTGTTCCATCACCTTTTTTTGTTTCTAAACTTAACACGTCTGCTTTAAGTGCAGTAACAGAACTTACTCGTTGCTGTCCAAGTGAGACCCCGCTAAATTCTGTGATGGAGTTGTAGACTGAAGGGTGAGCAGATGTCCGTCCAGGACCGGGACTTCCGCTGGAGGCACAGTGGTATTGTCAGCAGCTGTAGCCATCTGGTCCAGGCCTGGCTGCAGGTCAGATGGCGGTGGGGGGAACTGTTGCTGTTCAGAGTAAGTGTCAGAGCCAGGCGAGGACGATGATGTTTGACTGCTGCTGCTGGCTGTGTTGGCATCCAGCATCTCCAGGAGGAGGTCGTACACCAGCACCGCATTCTTCCTCTTCATGGAGGACAGGTGGTCGATGCCTTTGTTACTGTAATGAGAGGGAACGTGACCATGAGCCCAAAAGAAAAGAAGAAAGGGAATTAAACAACTAAGGACCAGATCGCTCAAAGAAATGAAAAGCAGTTAGACTGTTAATATCTCAAATGAAACCTGATGTATATGGAACTCCAAAGTGTTCAAAATTAAATAAATAAATAGGACACAATGAAATAAATAACTATGTGAATAAATAAGACACAGATATGCAATGTGAGAATGATATTTTGAAATACTGGAACACATTTTGAAAAAAAAAGCTCATTATTGTGAAATATATTGCATTCTGCTATATAAATTTACTTATTATTGTGAAATATTATTTCATGGTCATTATTTTTCACAATAACAGAGATTATTCCTGAGGCATTTTATTTATTCCCAACCATTTTTATTCCAAAATGTCCTTTTTTCAAAGTCAGTCTTTATTTCAAAATCCCGTTTTTCCCAATGGCCTATTTATTTCATAATGCGACTTTTCAGCAGAATGACTTTGTCTGTCAATCAGTGTGAGTGGCCTTTGCACCTATTGGCTGATCGTTTACTATCGACTAGTTTTCCTGGATACCTGCTCCGCGGACGACTGCTACAGGTAGCAAAAACGTGCTAGGTCAAAAGTCAGGGAGGATGGCTATGGGCTCCAAATGTGGTCATAAATATTTTGTACTTGTTAAAAAGATTTGTATGTGTAAAAAATATTTGTGTGTGCGTAAAAAAGATTTGTATGTGTAAAAAAGATTTGTGTGCGCGTAAAAAAGATTTGTGTGGACTTAGCCCAAAAAAACCCTGCAAGTTACAAGTACGAATTTTGACCCTATTTTTCTTCCTTTCATCTGATTGGTCAATGTCATGTCAATCACAAATGTAACAATCCAATCAGAGAACAGATGGGTTTGGCTGTCGGAGGGGCGCTTTTTTGAACTGCAGGTCTTTG